CTGAAACATCCACTGACAACCTTATTGAGGATCCTTGCAAGTTTTTGATTCCTAGAATTTTATTTTCTTTACATTCCCCAAATCTAGCAGAATTGAATCAATTTAATATTCTTTAAGAGTTTGACAACACATTTGTTTAAATTTTTTGCATTATTTGATAACTTTCACTTTTATTATCTTTACCTTATTTTAATGTTGTAAATAAATCAGTTATATATTGTTGCAGTAATACTAAAATAAGATAAAAGCAAACTAAAACTCCAAGCTTTCAGTGGGCATTTTATATAAAGCAGCTATGGCTCACACTTGTAGAGTGAGATAGGAGTTGGCTGGGTAGCAATGATCTTCTTGGTTGGGTTCACTAGCCTGTCTGGCTGTTGACTGGCTGTCAGTCAGTTGAAGTTAATAGTGCCTAGCATACTGGAGAACTCTGCACTTTTACACTTGTCTGTCATCTTCTAGCAGGCTATACCAGTGATATTTTCATGGTGATGGCAGAGGTAAAGGAGTTCAAACCCCCATGTGCAGTTTATTTTAAGCCTCATCTTGCATTACATTTTTCAAGGTTTTATTTGCTAGGACAAAGCCCTATGTTTGTGCTCATATCAAGGAGTAGAGCAAGTTGTCCCACTTATGGTGTAAATCTATGTTCCTAGGCAAATTGCATGAATTCAGAATTGTTGAATTGAAACCACCATTGCAATATGATACACCAACTTACTTTCCTTTTATTTTGTGTAGAATATACTTACTTTACCATTTATTTAAAATTTCCTGGCCAGGCTAGGTGGCTCAGCCTATAATCCCAGTGCTTTGGGAGGCCAAGGTGAGCAGATTGCCTGAGCCTGCGGGTTCGAGACCTGCCTGGGCAGCAAGACCCCATCTCTACAATAAATAAAAAAATCAACGGGTGGTAGTATGCGCCTGTAATTTCGGCTACTCGGAAGGCTGAGGCGGAAGGATCGCCGGAGCCCAGCAGGTTGAGGCTGCGGTGGCCGGGAGTGGCCACTGCACTCCAGTCTGGGCGACAGAGTGAGACTCCAACTCAAAAAATAAATAAATAAAATAAAATAAAATAAAATTTCCTGTGTACCTCCTTTAAATATCCTGTTTTTTAATAAAATAATTTTTGTGCTTTTTAATAGTCAGAATTTACATAGATACATAACTCTTTATATGTCATATTTTTAGTGCTATTTTATTACTTTGTCTTATTATTTCTTCTTTCTATATTTCCTTCTTTATTAATCTTTGTATTTTGCATATATACAAAGTTTGCTAGACTTTTACCTTTTTTAGTGTGTAGTTAGACTTACTTTTTTAGTGTGTAGAAATTTATGCATACTATTTTAATTAGTGCAGCAGTTAACATTTAAGGTTTTAAATATTTTGATCCCATATTTATCTATTTATTAAGTCAAAAAATTAAAATTTTGTGATTCCCAAGTTTGTGGAGTTTTTGCACCAAACTTATTTCCTCTATACATTTAATCTACATTTCTGTCTTAGAGCATAATTTAGACATACTGTACAAGAATAAATTTTGATTCTGCATCCATGTTTTATCGTTTTATATTTAAATCAGTATCTAACTTGTTTCCATGCCCATTTTTAGTCTTTTTGTACTGAGAGTTTCTTTTTGTCATCAATAAATCTAACATTTATGTAACAGCGCCAGTGTTAGTGATTGTACTATGTCATTTATGAGTGGTGTACTTTAGGAATGGTATAAAATAATTAGGCCACAACCCTTCCACTTATAACCTCTATTTATTACACTTTTGTCTGTCTGATATCTTGTTTTTTAAAAAAGACATGTATAGTCAACACAACTTTATTCCTTCTTACAAATAGAGATTCGTAACTTGAATTTTCTGCCTTGATATTTTTAGGATATCTTTCCCTTTCATCAAAATCCAAACCAGTTTATAAAAAGTCTCTAGGTGAGTATGATTAACTGATTTTCTCTAGACTGTGGTGAATCTTTTCCATTTGCAGACCCTGGTATATAATTATTTTCTTAATTATTATAGTTGTGACTTCTTTCTCCCTCAAAAAATTATGCCCCCCCACAAAAGGAAAATAATAATTTTAAATTTGAATGGTCAGATCCTGTCTTATAATTCCCTTCATAGTTTTAATACCTTCCTTCCTTCATTTTTTTTTTTTTTACTATAAGAAGAGTTTTTCATGTTTTAATAGCATTTGTAATGTGGACTTCTATTCTGCAATGGCGTTTTTACTTCTTCTGAATTGAAATATTTCATTATTCCATTATTCATCTGATTTATTTTACCTCAATAGATTTTCTCTTAATGATCTCCTGATCTTGTTTTTGAGATGCCATTTTATTTTTCATTTTAATGAGGGTGATGCAGGGGTTTTGCAATTACTTCTACATCTATCAAAAGATAATAAATGTTTCTGGTGATTATTTTGAGTGGAGGGATTTTTTTCTTTGTTTTTACACTGAGATCCTACTAGTTTATTCCTCGTACTCAATTTAGGGCCTGGTACAATCAACCTTGGCTTGGAGTGAACCAGCAATTTGAATGTATTCACTGTAGTTGACCCTTGTCTGAATTCCAGCTGGTGGGAAGGTGAATGCATATGATTTCCTACACAATTTGCAGTGTAGCAGGCATTTATATTGCGCAGTGGTTCAATATATTTCTCTTCTCTGCTGCTCAGTCCTTGATATTTAGAATAAATGAAGTAACTTGTCCAAGTATCTCTCAGCTCTTAACCTAGGAATTGAATGCAAGTCTTGCTTCTTCTTCATTGTTTGCTTTCTTTTCCTTCTTATAAATAGTTGTGAGAATATTATACACATATTTGAAAACTAGAATTATTGTAAGTAATGCATATTGCCCCCAGTATTAACATAATATATGTTAGTTCATTCTTTGCTGTTTTTCATGGGATAGATTTTTATAAATGGAATTTCTGAAGTAAAGTATACTAACATTTTTGTAAATTTTTGATATGAATTGACAAATTCTTTCCCAAATTTTTTTTTTTTTACCAAATTAAAGTTCCAGAAGTTCCATTAATGTTTGAGCATATGTTCTTATTTTTAAAAAATACCTTTGGGATTATATGCTTATTAGGAAAAATTTGTATTCATATAAAACTATATTTTTTAAAAAAACATTATTTCAATGTCTAGTGATGACTATTGTTATTAATCTGGCATAGTTATTTTATTTTATTTATTGATTTATTTAGAGTTGGAGTCTCACTCTGTCACCCAGGCTGGTGTACAGTGGCACACTCATGGCCACCCCTGTGCTGACCTGTTGGGCTCTGGCAATTCGTCCACCTCAGCCTTCCACGTAGCCAGAACTACAGGAAGGCACTACCATGCCAGGATAATTTTTTTTTTTTTGTAGAGGTGAGGTCTTGCCAAGCTGTCCAAACTGGTCTCGAACCCATGGGCTCAGGCAATCCACTGGCCTCAGTATCCCAAAATGCTGAGATTACAGGCTGAGCCACTGAGCCTCGCTGTTACTATATTTTTTGACCTTGTACTTTCTAGGATAGCTAAGTAGGTAGATAGGTAAATAGATCAATATAGATAGATGACAGAAGATAGAATACATACATGGATGAAAATACTATAATGATAAAATTAAGACATTTTATATTTTTGTCCCATTATACATAACCCTGTGATTAATGTCTTTACATTTAATACAAATGATTTATTTTAGTAATGTAAATTCTAAAAAGAAAATAAAGAAAAAAGATTGCTTATGTTATATTGATGGTACACACACATAAAATTTCAAAAGAATGCTATCTGCATGGTATCTCAACAGTTGTTCTTTGAGTAGTTACTTTTACCAGTAAAAAATTAGAATAATTTTCCTATTCTTTGTTTTATATAAAAATTGTGCATTTTTTTTTAATTTTTATTCATTTGATCACTGGTCAAGTAAAATATACTTTTACTAAAGTTTATTATCCATATTAAAGTACTATTATGTAAAACTTCTGTTCAAGTTCATAATCATTTTACCTTCTTTTATTGGTGTACATTATACCTTCTTTCTTTTTTAAAATATTTTACTTTATTTTCAAGCTGTGGGGTTTAATTCAGGGTTAGGTATACACATATTCACTGTGCAGGTACCCTTGTTGATGAGGTGTGCCCCCCCCAGGCAGATCTCAACTACTGTCAATCCCACCTACCCATCTCCCCCCCACCACAGTTTCCCACTACTGTCAATCCTTTTGTTATAGTATTACAGTAGCTGTTCTAGGTCCACTTATGAGTGAGAATATGTGATATGCAGATCTTTGTTTCTGTGAAAGATCACTCAGTATTATAACCTCTAATTCCATCCAGGTTGCTGTGAAGTTCAAGATTTTGCTCTTTATGGCTGGATAATATTCCATTATGTATATGTACCACATTTTTTAATCCAGTCCTCTTTTCATGGGCAGCACAGTTGGTTCCATGTTCTTGCTATTGTGAACAATGCTGCGATAAACATACATGGGCAGGTATCTTTTTTGTAGATCCCTCTTAGTGATAGTTCTTCTGGGTATATTCCCAGTAGGGAGATTGTGGGGTCATATGGTCAATTTTTAGAACTTTTAGGAATTCCCATATTGTTTTCCACAGAGGCTATACTAGTTTGAACTCCCATCAACAGTGCAGAAACACTTCCTTTATTAACAATATTAATGCTTTCACTCACGCTCAATGTTATTATTTTATTCTGTATGGATTTTTAAAAAACTGTCCTTAAATTTTAATCAATCACATTTATTTATATTTTCCATTGCAATTATGTTAATATTTTTGGTTCAGAAAGTCTTTTTACATAATCAGTATTGCCTTAAACATTGTAGTTGTTTAGTAAATTATGTTGAAGTGCTAATGAAATGAAATCCTCTCCATTCTCCATGTTCAATTCTGTTCTTTGCAACAGTGACAGGAATCAAATACTATCCCAGTACTAGCTTGACTAACTTGTCTTTTCTTATTTCAGAAACTAAACGACCATGCCTTGAATTCTCTCCCCTAAATATAAAGGATGCCTTCAGAGATTTATTTATTCCTAGAACAAATATAATTCTGATGATGTATACAAGAAACAACCTGAACTGTGCTGAGCCACTGTTTGAACATAATAAGTCACTTAATGTTAACTTCAACACACAAAAGAAAACAGTCTGGCTTATTCATGGATACAGACCACTGGGCTCATCCCCATCATGGCTTCAGAACTTTATACGGATTTTGTTGAATGAAGAGGACATGAATGTAATTGTAGTTGACTGGAACAGGGGTGCTACAACTTTAATTTATAATAGAGCAGTTAAAAACACCAGAAGGGTTGCTGAGACTTTGAGTGGGCACATTAAAAATCTCTTGGTAAGACTGGGAATTTTATGCATTATATATGCTATAAATGTATGGTGTGTTATGCAATACCACAAAGTAACAACAAAATATATACTTTTCCCCATAAGTATTAGGAATTACTGCTTTAATATACTAATGCATGTAGCTATCTTTTCTTGGTCTGCCTAAATGAATAATTTTATACCTAGACATGACAAGGCTTAGATTGTTTAATTCTTTTTTTTTTTTTTTTTTTTGAGTTGGAGTCTCACTCAGTCGCCCAGACG